GTTTTGGCTTCTGTCATTGCTTTGTTCCTCTCTTCTGAAAGCATGTCTCTTAATTAATCGGAATAAATTTTTTCCCCATATTCGTCAAACCAAAACATCCTGATTTGTAGCCCAAACACAATTTTCCTACATAAAAATAATAGAGTAACTAAAAAAATTGTCTTAATGCCTTGGAAAAATAAGTTATAACTTAAATTAAAACCAAACGTAGTACCTGAAATTTGTTAAACATCAACTCCTTTATGTCATTAGGAACTTTCTTCCACGTTGGCCATGGACCGTTGAAGCAATTTTTTATGATCCTTGTTATTGTAGTTGTAACCCCTCGCTCGAAAAAAGTAATTATACAAAATAAAAAAAATTATTGCATAATATAATATATAACAAATATAAATAAATCTTTCTAATACAATATAACATACCTATCTCCAATAAGAGTTATATGCAATCTTTCTGATGGATTTATAGGAGTTTGTAATCCCACACCAGGCCCCCTACCTTTTGACCTTGAGGATGTACCATCTACACTTGCATCTATATCAATAGATGTGGATCTAGAAGAATTGTGAGTAGATGTCTCATTATCTACTTGCTCTGTAAATACCGCCAACAAAGAAGGTGGCTCAAAAGGTACGTCATTGAATTGTTGCATCTGTGGTTGAATGGATGGATCAGCAAACATAGTAGCACCTGTAGGCAACGACATAATTCCAGAGGTATTTGTCGCTCTAGGTCTCAGTTTTGAATGCTTCCCTTTAACCATAATTCCTACAAAAATTCCATATTATTAAAACTAATACACAGAAATTTTAAAAAAATAGTTAAGTAAATTATAAAATTGTTAAATTACAACAATCGAGAGTAATTCCTATGTATGTGTACAATAAAAGATGCCATTAGTAGTTTTAATGTATACATTGAGAATATAAACAATAATAATTGTATAACATGTGAACATTTTTCAATAGTAATAACTAAGGTAAACAACTACGTAACAAAAGATACAAACAGAATATTATATATGTCTACCATCATCAATCACTTCTAGAAAAAGCAAACTTATGTTTTTCATTATTATCACTATCATCACTAAAAGTTTCTTCATTTTCATCTTCAACTTCTTCTTCTTCATCTTTATCTCCGTCCATGTCATCTTCTTCATCTTCATCTCTTTGCATGTCATCTTCTTCATCTTCAATTAAGAGATTAACCTCTTCATAATCACCACTTGCTAGAACTGTAGGGTTTTCAAGTTCTCCCGAGGGAGTAACATTTATTAGAATAGGTACATCATTATCTTAGTACACTTTTTCATTCATATCAGTTTCATTTTCTCTATCTCAACTACTAAGAAGCTGAAATCTACTTCTAACTTTTGCTTTAAATACTGCCCACCAATCACGTCGATCTCTTTTGGTAGATAGGTAACTACTGTAATAAACTTGTTGAGCTTGTCCAGCTAAAACAAATGGTTCATTAGTTGCAAGTATTGAGTTGTGTTTAATTTCAACAAGACCATGACATGGGTCTACCTTAATACCCTTTTTCGTGTCAAACCAATGGCACTTAAATAGCACAAGTTTGTTTCCGAAACCAAAATACTCCAACTCCATTACATCGACCAAAATGCCATTGAAGTCACGCTCATAATCATTGTAACAACTCCCTTTTATGCATACCCCACTATTCATTGTCTTACGATTCTGCCCATAGTGTAGGGTATGAAACTTAAAACCATTGACGAAATATCCTTTGTAACACCTTATCATACAGCCTGAACCATGAAAGATTTCAAGTATGCATGGGTCAATATCATCCGTACGTTCCGCAACCTACCAACATTTAATACAAGATCCAGAATGGTTAACTTAATGAAGTAATGCATATTTGTTATTAAAAGATCACATATACTTTACATAAACTTACATATTATCTAAACCATTTCATGAATCTTTCATCACGTACTTTTTCCAATTCATCTTTAGATATATCAACCTCTCTTTTCACCATATCATCAAATATCCTATCATCATATCCATATTTTCGAATTTAAGTTCATTAGTATGATCAATCATTTAAGTTTATGGCAGAGTAGTACTTACTTAATGTATGGGAGCATTTCTTCGCAATTCATTAAAACATATAGCTCAACAGCATAAAACTTATCCTTATTTAAAAATCGAGATTTATCTAGTGGACTAAATGCTCTGCTAGGATGAGTGAAAATCGAAAGACCACCACAAGAGTCCATATCTCCCCTATCATCATTACGTGGCACACGGTTTAATCTTGTTCGCACCGTAGGTTCAAAATACAATGAGCAAAATGAAGAGATTTCCTTGATCATGTATGCCTTGCATATAGATCCTTCAACAAAGGCACAATTTTTCACTTTCTTCTTCAAATCATGCAAAAACCTAAACATCATAATATTCATGATACTTAATTTAAATAGCTAAAAATATTGTAATAAACTATTAGAATTCTGATAATAGATATAATACGTTTCAAATGGATACATCCATCGATACTAGACGGGTCCACCAACTTCTGCCTCATAAGGTAAATGAATTGGAAAATGCTGCATACAGTCAAAGAAATCGAGAGGAAAGATCTTTTCTAGTTTACATATAGTTTCACATATTTTCCCATCCAAAGCTTTCATGTGATGTACTATATTTCAATTGAGCATAAATCTCTAAAAAAATGATATATCTCAGTAATCGCATCCCAAACTGAGTGAGGCACCATATCCCGAAAGACAATTGGTAGCAATCGTTGGAAAAAAACATGACAACCATGACTTTTCATCCCATAAAATTTATAATCGATCTCATTAACACACCGAGATATGTTCGATGCAAAACTATCAGGTAATCTCAATTGTTTCACCTAAGCACAAACGAGTTTTCTTTCCTCCTTACTTAAGTGTACGAAGCCTTTGGCTTCAAAATTCTTCCATATGTTCAACTAGTTCCAATTCTGGACCCTTGTAGTACACATTCAAATCTTGCCGTGCCTTTAAGTTGTCTTTCGTCTTCCCCTTAACATCCATCATTGTGTTGAATATATTCTCAAATACATTACGTTCAATATGCATCACATCTAAATTGTGATGAACAAAAAGCGTATGCCAATACAGTAATTCTCAAACTATACTCTTTTTCACCCAATTATGACTTACACCATAACCCAGAATCTTTTCTTCACCACATTTTGTTCCAAAGGGGATATTATGAAGCAAATTCAAGCGTGACAATATTTCTTCACCTGATAAACGAGGAATTGAGAAGTCACGCTCAACTCTTTTCCTATGAAATTTATCTCTCTGCTTTCTAAAAGGATGATTAAGTGGCAAAAATTATCGATGACAATCAAAAAAATAAGGTTTCCTACCATGATCTAATATGAAAGCCTTAGACCGTTCCATGCAATAAGGACATGATAATCGTCCATGAGTGCTCCATCCTAACAACATACCATAAGCAGGAAAATAATTAATTGTCCACAACAATGCTGCCCTTAGTTTGAAATTTTGTTTTCTATAGGCATCATATGTGATAACACCCTCGGTTCACAATACTTTCAACTCATCTATCAAAGGTCTTAAGAAGACATCTATGTTTTGGCCTGGACTTTTCTTTCCCGGAATAACCATATTAAGAAATATATATGGTTTTTTCATACACATCCATGGGAGTAAATTGTACACAGTGAGCATTACTGGCCAAACAGAATAAGGTATTGTAGTTTGTCCAAAAAGATTGCAACTATCAGTACATAATCCTAGTCTTACATTCCGAGCTTCCATTGCAAATAACTCATGTGTGTGGTTAAAGTGTTGCCAAGCCTCACCATCAACAGGGTGTCTAAGTACTCTATCATCACTTCGGTTCTGCGCATGCCACGTCATATGTTTAGCAATTTTTCCTGACATATAAAGCCTTTGAAGCCTTGGTATAAGTGCCAAGTAACGTAAAATCTTTAAAAAGAATTTCTTCTGCTTTTTCACACTTGATCTCATTGGTTTATACCGAGGATGATCACATATCATACAATACTCAAATTCAGCAGTTTCCTTATAAAAAAAATGCAATTGTTTTTACAAGCATGAACTTTGATATATTCAAGTCCAAGTTTTGCCATCTTCTTTTTCATTTTGTAGAAGTCAGTTCGTAAAGTTTCATCTGATGGCAACATATTCTTGAACATCTCCAACAAACGATCAAAACACAATTCACTCAAATTGAATTTTGATTTAACATTTAAAAGTTGCGACACAGCTGAAAGCGTTGTATGCTTGGTGCAACTTGACTACAACGATTCATCCGCATTTCATAACAAAGAGTAAAAGCTACCCTTATATGGATTTGGATCTTCCTCCACAAAACTTGATTCATTACCATGACTACAATTGAAACCAACTTTCGGACCCATAGCATCCCTAACCATTCTAGCATATGGATTTTCTATTTTCGCATCATATGTAGGTTGCTCATATTCCTCATATTCCCCATGACTAGCATATGGTTCTCCTTGCATGTCATCTCCACTTCTAGATGATTGTCCAACATCATATTCCCCATGTAAACTCCATAATGTGTAAGCACCAATAAAACCCTTTTTTAAGATGTGATCCGTCACCTTATCGGAATTTAAAAACTTGTTGCTACACCGAGAGCAAGGACATCTAATCTTATTCTTCCACATAAATGTACCATTAGATAATGCAAAGTCAATGAATTGTTGAACTCCAATTATAAATTCTTGTCTAATGAATCCATCAGAAGTTAGTCGATTGTACATCCAAGATCGATCTTGCGTCATTTTGCACCCCTAAGTTGCACAGAATATGACGATCAAGAGAAATTCCTATTCAGGTTTGCAATTGAAAAGGTGTAAAAAAATATACACCAAGCTAATAAATCATTAATTTGTTAATTTGAACGTATAAAATATCTAACTTAAATATAACATACAAACATCAATTCAGTAAACCCCAAACCAAACTCAGTATCAAAGAACCCATTATTATATATATGAAGACAATCAAAGTGTAAGTCACGAGGTCGCAAAATTGTTGAGCAAAATTATACTAACCTGCAACAAAAAGGCCTATTTTTGCTGGCAATCCAAATGATGTGTTGCTTTTCATCTGTGATGCAATGTGTAATCAATCAACCTACGATAGATTAAGACAAGTATCAACCGCAATTCTCAATGTGATTATTGTCAATGCTTAAGATGCTCTATTAAAATAGTGCACTTTATACTAATTGAAGGAATCGTTGAAAAAAGAAAAGTTAAGCACAGAAAACAAGGAACTGTGCCATATGGTTCCTTGTCCGAAGTTTACTCTTTGACCATATTTTCCATATAATGTTTACTCTTAAATCTAGCCTACGTATTTCGATGTCGGTATAAAATCATTAAACATAACTAAAGTGAACTATTTAGAGATTTGGTTCTGATAGTAGTGAAACTCTGTAACATTGATTAGGTGAGCAATAAGCTTTGCAAATTAGTTTAATAATGTTTAAATGATTTTTTTTGAAGGAAAAAACAAACATCAATTTTACGGTAATTCTTCGAATCACAAAGGTAATTCACCCAAATATAATAATTGGTTTGAAGGACTAATAACCCTAAATCCTGGTATTCAAGAATCTATGCCACATCTTTTGTAATTAAATAACAAACTTAAAACAGTAAGGTATTGCATTTAAATCTTAGATATATGAAAATGCAGCATATAAAAGAACGAAAATGGTTTGCTTAATTAATTGGATTTAAAAATATTTTTAGAATGAACATTATTTGATAAAATAAAAATTCTTATTTGCAAATTGAATAAATTTCATTGAATATTAATAATAAAAAATATTTTTAATGACAATCATTTGCTGTAATTAAAAAGTACAATTTAAAAATGATGATATTATAATTTAAATAAATTTATTGATTAAAATAATAATACCTAAACATTACCATATCCATCTATACATTTATGTATATTGTACAATGTATAGTGGTCATTCATAATTTAATAATTAAATATATTCATATAATCACAATGTATTTAAAGTTAATATTTTAAAACAATTAAGACATTAATAAATTATTTTTTATTAATTAATATATATTAACAATTTATAAATAAGATCTGAATTAATTAATCAAGTTTCATGATTTCAAAGATTTTAATTTATAAAAATTTAATTCTATTTGTATTACAAATTGTAAATATTTCTTTTACTTTTTGAGCACATGTCACCTGACTACTTGCACATACTTCCTAAACATAATTGATTATGGATTACAATAAGATTAAGAATTTCAGTTATTATATAATTAAAATAATCATTATTAATTTTTATGTACTCACTTATTGTAATCATCCTGTAACGGTCCCAAAAAGTAACTACAACTCTATGAATGACATATTGGCATTTATTCATCTGGAAAACCACCCCCGATATTCAAATCACCCAGTAAAAAGCCAGGAACACTACTTGACCATTTTTCAAACACATTGTTCTAGGGATTAAAATGCCTCCATAAATTTATGAAACAACTTAAATGCATTTTTGGATGTTGATATGAATTACATTGTGATAAATTTTAGTATACCCTCTATGCCCGAAAAGCCTTCTGAATCTAAGCAGCAGCTATCTCTTTAACCAGCATTCGAGGAACACCAAGACTGCTCTGTCAACCAGCAGTAGTTGCTGCACTCATTGCCTCTTCAGAAGCATCGACACTCCCTTCTCCATTTGGTTTTTCCTTAGCTTAGTGTACCTGTAATCATAAGGTATGAAAGCAAATTAAAGAAATGAAGAATCACATAAACAAGATCATAGAATAGGCTACAGCATGGTCTGAGATGCAGAACACACCCCCACGAGTAGCAGCAACCCAAAAACACAGAATTTTCAAACAATGCAACACTTCTGTCCCAAAATCAAACTCACAGCAGACAATGCCCAAATCGAAAAATTGCAGATATCCCTGTGAAAAACAAAGCAAATTAGAACAAAAAATTGCAGCCAACGAAATGCCCAAATCACAAACCCAACGGAATTATGAAATTCTAGCCATGGTCAGCCAAATCAAAAAACAAAAAATTGAAGGCAAATGAGAACCCAAAAACACAGGCAGAAAGTTCAAAACGAGATCCCTCAAACAGAAGGAAAAAGCTCCAACCGACAGATCGGAGGCTTCACCGTCAAGGAGGCTGGGCTTCGGCGTTTCTGCCGGAGATGTTCGATTCAGAATCTTCCAGCTGACAGATTGGAGGCTTCATAGTCGAGGAGCCTGGGCTTCAGCGTTTCTATCGGAGTTCTTCGCAACGGAAACTTCCAGCCGACAGATCGGAGGCTGGGGTTCGGCTTTTGTTCCGAAGATGTTGGCTTTGGATTTTCCTATCTTTTTCACCTTATTTGCACCTCGGTTCAAAAAGAAAGGAAAGGTGGATGGAGGCCGTAGAGAGGCGGTCGGCAGATAAGGAGGACGTCGGAGGAGGGTCGATATTTGCCTGGTTTTACAAGAGAGGGAAGAGGAAGTTCATAAACAGAATAAAATACCGAAAGGGAAGGAAGAAAGAGAGAGCCGGACACCATGTAGTGTAAAAATGTGTTGAAAAAATAAGTTGGGCTATAGCCCATGAATGGTAGCCGGACACCATGTAGTGTAAAAAGTCCAAGGGTGGTGGGTTTAATTTCAGTCTATGCAATAAGTCTTTGGATCATTTTTATATTTTGCACTCCATATCATATCCATCCATACACAAGTTTGAGGGTCTATAGTCTTTATATGAACAAAAGTTTAAATAATTTATATTTTATTATCCCTAAGCCCTAAATTTTAAATAAAAGGAAATTTTAGTATATTTATATTATACTTACTTACAATGAATAATAATATAATAATATAATATCTTTAGATATTCATAATATATTGACATTAATTACAATGTAAATATATATTATTATAAATTTGAACAAAATTAATATTATTTTATTATTTATTTGTAATATAATATTTAATAATTATTAAGTACATTTAGCATTTTGTAAATTATTAATTACTTTGTTATAATAAGCATAAATAATTTGTTTTCAAAAGTATGCAATTTTATTGCTTGAGACCAACGTCAATATAATTTTATATGATTTTACAAATTACATAAAAAATTAAAAACATCAAATAACCTAATGCACCCAAAATATCCACTATTAAGATATTAGATATCTAATATAATAATTACCCATCCTATAATAAAATTAATACATTTTATATAAAACCATCTTTGATTTACAATCACCAATTATCACTAATGTAGCTAGAACCTAACCATTCACAGTTTATTACCAAAAGCTAACTATTTAAAATATTTCCTACTGCCTATTCATATTCAATCATAAACTCTAGTGATCCACTTAACTTAAGAATTTTTTTCTAATCAAACCAAAAAGTTATAGTCAAGTCTTTACTCAAGATAATTAAACTGAGCCAAAATTTTGATAGCTGTAGTCCTTATCCATCACTAATCACTAATATGTTAATTTTTTATAATATATATTTTTATGTATTACTTTATTATTATATATATGATATGAAAAAAATATGTTTTAAAAAATAGATAATAATCCCTAATAATGTTATTAAAGTATAATCATATACATGAATTAAATTTAATAAAGTTACTAATTAAGGTTATAATTACTAATAAACTATTATTACTTTCTCTTTACTATATTATTGAATTTTATCACCTATTTGTATGAAATAAAACATACTTATAATTTTAATATTATAAATTTCAGTATGTTTATATTTAATTTTATTAATATATTTCTTATAAAAGATTAATTCAACTTTAAAATTTTTTTAATATATTTAAAATAAAGAAATTAAAGAATAGTAATACTGACGAAATTTTCCAACAGAAAATTCCATTGGAAAATATACTGGATTTTAAATTTTCCTTCACTTTTTTTATTTTTCAATGGATTTCCAACGGAAATTCATAGGAAATTCCGTTGGAACGTTTGGAGGCAATTTTTTTTTTCAAAAACTTTTCCAATTGATTTCCAACAGAAATTTTCCGTTGGAAATCCGTCGTCAAAAATCATACGAAAATTCCGTCGAAATTTCGTTGGAAATCCATAGCAAATTTCCAACGGAAATTTTCCGTCGGAAAAACCTCATTTTCTTGTAGTGTGTTAACAAAAGCTTAGGCGCCTCGGCGCCTAGCTCTCAGCATCTAGGTGCCAAATGCAATGTCCAACATGTTAAAACAAGCCATAAAAAAGAATCCAACATGTTAAAAAGGCACCAACCCGTGGGATCCTAATTGCCGACACATAATTCTGCACATTATTGGCCATTCGATTTTACATTAAATGGCCATAAAAAAGGGTATACATACAACCATTTTTAAGGGCTAAAGAGAAAGCATCCTGAAGAGCAACTTTAAAGGCAAAAAAAAGCTTTCCATAAGGAGAAAAGAAGAGGAAAAATCTTGAAGAAAAGCTTGACAAAGCTGCACCGAAAGAGCATAATCCCCTGCTTTAGAGCAGGGTTCAAATCCCTCTCCTCCAATTATTAGAAAAAAAAACTACACCAAAAGAGTTTTCTTTCACTAGCTTATTTTTCTCTCTCTAAATCTCCTTGTATAAATGCTTAGTTTTGTTGAAATTTTGTTGTGGGTTACTGAAACGTTAAGCTAAACTTTCCTTTTAGGATTATGGTGGACATTAATGTACAATTTGGATGCTTAATTGACTATTACTTGTGTTTATGGAATATTTAGTATTTATCCAAATCTGCACTTATTTCCCATTTTATTGATTAATCACCAATAAGATGTGTATAGGTTTTTAGATAAAACTTGATAAAGTTAGTCTAAAAAGACCATGGTTTGGGTAGTATATGATCATTGCAATTAGGAATTAATTGGGTGGTTTATTAATAGGGTAGCCATACACCTATTAACCATATACAGTCAATTTATATGACCTACACTTAAGGAACTTTGCTTAATTAATTAGCTATAGACATATATAGAATATATTTAAGTTAGGCCATTGTATGATAGCTCGACGTAGGATCGTACATGCTTAAAGATCCTAGGCTAGTAATAGTTTTCCATAATAGTAGATAATTAGTCCATCTTAAGTCCAAATGAAGCATTAATTGAAACTATAATCCTAGGTACTTCCCCACTATTTTCCAACTCAATTTACTTGCATTTTTTTTAGCTTAGTTCAATAGGTTAGCCTTACTACTTTAATTTTCATTTTCATTTTATTTCCAAACTAGATTTCCTTGGATAAGATTAGATTGCACAATTTTAGTAATTAGTAAGAATTTGATACAATTCCCTATGGAGACAATAACTTACTCACTATTATACACTTGTTGACCATGTGCACTAGCATGATGTTTTGCTAATTTGATAAAAGTTTTAGAACAAATTGTCTTGATAAATTAGCAAGCAATAGCAAAGCATAATCCAATGCGGCATGCATCATATGCATTTTAATTAAACCCACTCACAGTGACAATCGAAGGCATATTCCACCACCAATCTCCAATTTATGGCTTTCAATTGTCTTTCAGCTCAACAATGGGTTAAATGGCTCTGATTTCGCCTTAAACACACCAACACATCAAAATATTATTTATTTCTTGGATTTTGAAAGTATCTAATTTTTTCAAAATACCCTAATTCAATATATAAACTCAAATCCTTTAACAATGAGCTAAATCCTCACTTTAGTAGCTGGGTTGCCTAAATCTTAGCTCTTAATTCCTACCAAACTCAAAGGAGAAAAATCTCACCAAGTTGGACTAAATTGATTAAATTGAAAATCAATTGGTGAAAAGGTGTAATATTATCTCTAGAGGAGTTTTTCAAGCTCCGATCTACTCTAAATTGCTCCAAAAATCCATTTAGGGATTAAGGTTTTTGATAAGTAAAGTGAAAGAAAGGTTTTAGGTTTGTTTAAAATGAGTGGAATGCCCGAAACCCCTTTTTATTTTTGCCAACACCTAGGGATGTATCAATACATTTAGGAATGTGTCAATACATTTACACGAGTTTTGACTAACTCTATAGATACATTAGGTAATGATAAAAATCATGCAAAATGCTCATTACTCAAAATGTATCGATACATGGAGAATTCTATCGATACTTTTCCCCCTGAATGCTCTTTGTTTCAAATCTATTGATACATTTGAAAAATGTATTTATATATGTTCATCTTTATTCAAATCTATCGATACAGTATCAGTAGAAAATCCCTTGTATGCCTTAATTTGTTCTACTTGCTAAAAATGTATCGATACATTCGGGAATGTATCGACACATTTTCCCCTGTAGGCATATTTTTGACCTTGTAAGCTTCCAAAAATCCAAATTTAACACCCTAATATCATTCTTGCTTAAATCACAATTCACATAACTATTATAACTCATCATTCTTGTACATATATCCTTAAATATGACATCAAATTTAAATCAAAACCTCAAGCTATAGGATTTACATAACACCTTTTATTTTTTATATGAACTAAATTTATTGAAAATGAATTATGAAATATATTGTATCTTGAGGACTTTGGTGGTATGTTAAATAAGCTAAGTGTATAAAGCCCATATTTTGACAATTAGGCAATTTTAAGAGAAATGATGAATTAATCTTTGAAGTTTGAGGTTTTGATTTGTGTTTTAGGTGATTTTTAAGGATATATGTATACAATTTTGAGTTATATGAATCATATGAAGTGTGATGTTAATAAGGAATGATTTTGAGGTGTTAAGTTTGGATTTTTAAATGTTTGGAAGGTTGAAAATTTCTTACAAGGGAAAATGTATTGATATATTCCTCCATGTATTGATATATTCTTAGCGAGATAAACTAGACAAGGCAAACAGGAGATTTTTTATTGATACATTCTTGAATGTATCGATAGATTTGAATAAGGATAAATATCTATCGATACATTGTCCAAATGTATCACTAGATTTGAAGCAGAAAGCACCTAGGGTGAAAAGTATCGATAGATTTTCCTCATGTATTGATACATTTTGGGCAGTGAGCATTTTGCTTGATTTCTATCATTACATTGCCCTAATGAATCAATAGATTTGGTCGAAACTTGCGTAAATGTATCGATACATTCCCAAATGTATCGATACATCACTAAGTAAAGGTAAAAACAAAAAAGATTTGGGCTATCCACCCATTTTAACAAAACCCTAACTCTCTTTCTCGTTCTACCACTTCAAAATCCTAAGCCCTCAACTAGGTTTAGAGGCCATTTGATGTAAATATGAGCTTGGAAAATATTATTGAGGTAAGATTATGCCTTTTTACCAATTGATTTTCAATTTAATTGGTTAATAGCCTAGAAATGCACGTTTCAAAAAAAAAAGACATAGAAATCCAAATTTTCCATATTTAGTGAATCCCCCTCAATTTTGCTAGAATTTGGAGCTTAGATTCGTGCAATTCAACTTCAAAGGTATGGGTTTAGCTCATTATTGAAGAATTTCAGCTTGAATCTTGGATTTTTAAGAATTTAGTTATTTTTGGAC